ACTATGTTTATTTTTAAATGTTTACTTAATTTGACCCCTCCCTCCCCTCAATTTTTATATAAAGTTAGGACGTTAAACAAACTATTAAATTGGAGCAGCCTAAATCACGAAATAATAAATATTTAGGTTGAATTAAATTAAAATAATAAATATATTAAATGAATCGCGTCTGTCGAGCAAATAAATTTTTAACCTGCATGTGATGTTTTTCTATAATTGATGTATTTGCGAAAATTAAAAATCGAATAATCAGAATAATAATTATAGATGAGAAATAAATATTAATTTTATTTTTAATTTATAGTTTAATATATATATTTAATAAAAATGAATTATTCATTACTTTCTGTTACAACTTAGCCACTTTAGTCTGTTATCATCTGATCACCAGCAGCAACATTGATCAGGAAGGAAGGGAAGGAAAAGAGAAAGAAGACGGAAAGCAAATGAGAGAAGGGAAAGGAGAATGGAAAATGAAGGGAGGGAAGGGAAGGGAGAGAGGGAAAGCGAATGAGAGAAGAGAGGGAAAGGAAAAAGAAAGGAAAAGGAAAGGAAAGGAAGAAGAAAGAACGAGAGAATAAGGAAAGAGAAAGGGAAGGGAAAAGAAAAAGAGGTAAAGCGAGAGAAGAGCAAAGGAATACACAAAAATACACACCGACCACCCCACACTTCCAACCTACATACCTAAAAGATGTAAAGAAAAGAGGACCCAAAAAAAGACCTAAAGAAAAGAGAAGACTTACTGGGTGAAGTTATTTTTAGTTTACTTATCGAAGAATTATTCAACCATGTTCAAGATTATTTAATCGAAAAACAATAGACCTAAAGAAAGGAGAAGAGAAAAGAAGACAGAGAGAAGGCACTATATTCGAGATTATTTAATCGGAAAGCAATAGAAGACCTAAAGACCCATTGGTGAAGATATTATTGGTTTATTAGTTTCATCTGATGAGTTATTATCAAAGAAGAATTCAACATGTTCAAGATTGTTTAAGAAAAGGGAAGGTATTGGAGGTATTGGGACATATTTACAGTATATTATTTATTATATATACTCGTGACAAAACCAACATGATCAAGATATGTCATAAGAAATAATTTTTTGCATATTGAATTTGAAAAATTACTCAAAATTTGTTAAAATTGGAAATCATTATTATTAGTAATAGTGAATAAATAGGAAGTATATGAAGTAAAATCTTAAGAAAAGATTATAGAAAACGTGAAAGATTATTAAAAGTATTAATTCTACACCAACTAATTTAAAAGAGATAAGATTCTTTGATCATTTTAAATTTCTTTGGAAAATTTGGAATAGTTCTTAGGAAAATGAAGAGGTTGTCCAATTTCTATACTTTATACGTCTGATTCTCTTCAAGAGAGAGAAGATTCTAAAAAACTGATTGATAAAGTATAAAAATAATGGAATTTTAGATATGAATCTAATATATATAGCGTTAGCTACCATTTTTAATGTTTTGTAAGCTATATATTTACGTTTAATTTAACAAGAATTCAAAGTATTAATATTTTGTAAAAGTTTACATTTTATAATCCATGTTTTCGCTATTGAGAGACTACTAGAGGGAATTGTTCATATTTAATGAAGTTGCTATTTATCAAAATGATCTAATTATTTAATGAATTATTCGTTTTTGGAACTTTTGACGAACTTCTTGAATTATCTGCAACCAGTAAAATTCAAGGCGCAAGTTCTCTGGCATATAATAGGTAGAATTCCGTAATTTGCTTAAACCTTGATCAATATGTAATACGTTTAACAAGTAATATCTTTATATTTAATTTTAATAATAAGCACTCTTTAAATGTATAATATGATTTTAATACTGTAATCGAAAATGTCTAAGATTTACATCATATATTTTTGACTAACTAAATTAAGTAATCAATTATTTTTTATTATTTTCTAACAAAATTCAACATATTTTATTAATATTATCAACATCGATATGGATACTCTCGTCTCATGAGTAAATTTAATGTTAACATTATTGACAAACATTATTTTTGATAACTTCTTGAACCCAGTGAAATTGTGCCTGTAGATGGTAAATATTTAAGTGAAGTGTACTGTAATAAAATAAAATTATTCAATATTTTTTAAATAATTTGAAAAAGATATTAACTTAGTCTGTTTCCACTTTCCATATCAAATCATGGTAGTAAGATTATGTAAGTAATTTTCCAATATTATTTTTTTTAAAAAAAAACCAAATGAATCATAATTTAGAGAACTGTGTGATAAAGAGAAAATATAAAATATATTTATTTAATTCTTATAATTGATTACAAACTGGTTTATTTGGCTATTGATTTATTTACGATTGTTATTCATTTAATTAAACATTTTTAACTGACAGAAGAATATAGCTACAATTGATAGTCCGAAACTGGTTAATTAACGTGCATCTACTTAATTTATCAAATAAACGCTTGGTGACACATATTGTTCAAAAAAAAAATTAACTATAGTAATACTAGAATGCATAACTAGTAGATAGCTTTAACCGGTTAACATTTATAACCGGTTCCGACCTTGATGAAGATCATGCGCAGTACTATCTGTATACCTCGTACACGTTCATATTTATGCTTTTGCGAAACTTTTCTTAAATAGGAAACCTCCAACCAATCCAGAACATCTCTTCAAAATAACTTATTTACACCGCTAAAAGATTTGTTGGCTGCCAAAGTTAGCATCTTAAAAAGGAAATCACTTAAAAACTAATCTTATGTTAACAAAAAAGTTAACGTTAATGTTAACATAAACGTAATGCTAACCTGTCATTTTGTTTCAGAATGATGACGTTAACGCATCACCTGCCCACCCTAAGAGACATACTTTCTTTTGCTAAAAATTATAAAAATTACGGAAAATCATGTGAAAATTAAATAATAATAAAAAGAATTATTTTTCGTCGATTTCAGTTGGACTCTGCTGCGGAGCTGTGGTCTAACGGTAAGTGGTAATGATTTTTTATTGGCGTCGGGTTGATTTCTTTTAGGTTCAGTCAGTTCTGGGATTTTTTTTTTTTAGGATCGGTTCATTGCTGCGATTACTGCTGCGGTATTATGTTAAATAGCTTTGGTTTCCTTTGGCGTCGGGGGATTAGTAATATTAAGTTATTAATAAATTTTTTCTTTCTTTTTCAGTTCTGTTACTCTGTCTGAGAATCAGCTTATTCATTGATAGGCAATTAAATTATACTTAAATTAGTATTATTTCCATATGTATAAATTATAAAAGATTTGAAGTAAATATTTATTAAAGTCCTACTTTGTTTAAGTATGCATAAAAAATCTAATATATTTATAGTTTATGCAATTTCAGCCAATTCGGATTATACTGTATCCAATTTTCCCAAATCTTTATATAAACAACCGTTATTCATACAAAATTGATTTGCAATGCACATGATTTTGTTATAATGAACTGCAATGCAGTGAAATGTGGTGAATGTGCAACAGTGCAGTGAAACATAGCATATAAAAAAAGGGGCCCTTCCTTTTTGGAATGCACTATTTAGGAATTTAAAATTTTAAAATGTTAGCAAATAAAACTATTTGTTAATAATGTCAACTTTCACTAATATCAAAGATTCAAGTGATAACATTAATTGGTTAGAAAAATCAGCAGAGAAGGGTGATGAAGGGTCAATGCACAATCTTGCCTTACGATACTACAATGGTGAAGGGACAGAGAAGGACTTGGGAATGGCCTTTCACTGGTTTCAGAAAGCAGCAGAAAAGGGCTATAAAAGGTCAATGCATAATCTTGCCTTACAATACTATAATGGCTAAGGGACAGAGAAGGACTTGCGAATGGCCTTTTACTGGTATCAAAAAGCAGCAGAGAAGGGTTATGAAGGGTCAATGCATAGTCTTGCCTTACAATACTAC